GTGTCATGATTTTGCACTATATTTTAAGACAAATGGATAATACGTATACTATGAGATTAAACCAAACGCCAAACCTCTATTAGCTTGTTTAGCATCACCGAGATACATTCCTACGAGCTTAGAAATATTTGTGTAAAGGTAATGATATATTTTAATGATTTACTTATGCCCTTTCACTCAAAAACTATTTCTAAAATAATAAATATATTTTTAGTTAGGGTGATTTTGAAAATAGAACATACAAAACGAGTTTTGGAAAATTTACACAGGTCTAACGGTATCTGGCTACCGTGTGCCACTCCACATTCACATTAGTAGAACACAAAAACCCAATAGCATTAGAGGCTGAAAAATTACCTGAATTTGTAAGATGACTCCACCTGCAATCTCTTTCAGATTGTTCTCTCCCAAAGTTGAAGGTGACGAGTGTTCCAGATGTTAACGTAGCTGATAGGGGTAGATATAATCCTTCTTTACTCCTTTACTATTGTCGTTGTTGTTGGATGGGTCACAACAGGGTATGTAATCCCTTGGTACTATCCAATTTTTTTTGAAAATGTATGAGTTTTCTTTAACTTTCTGCGATTGTATTTGAAGATCACCAAAAGAAATGCTAGAAAAGAACAAATGTGATAAAATTTCAAAGAGCAAACCATAACATCTAAAATAGAACGACATATTTCTTTTATGCAACAAATATAGGAAAAACAAACATGGCTCTCAGGCAAGTCTTAACATCAAGTGCAGTAATCGATTTGTGAAAGAGAGAAGAAGTATTTCATTTATATATGTAGTACAATACAAACAGTTCTTAATGAGACTGGACATAAGAAAACTCACAGTCAATCTCAATAAGATGTCAATCTCAATAAGACGAGACTTGAGAAAACTGAATCTGTTTAAAATAGGTAAATTTGGTCTTACTGCTAGAGCAGCCTTCAGTGCTCCATCTGGAGTTGAAAAGGTAACATGATTTAGTCCTTTTTCATTCATAAACTTGGGCCCCATCTGTGAAAGAAATGAAGGATGTTAAGGGAAAAATATCATCAAACTTAAACATAATAATTGTGACCACCCTAAACCCTATATATATATATATATATATATATATATATATATATATATATAAAATACAGGGCATATAAAAAAGTCTTCAACAGTAAATTGAAAGATTAACACACAAATTGAAAATATAATGGTAATTATTAGACTAAAGAAATTGTAACTATTAATATGTATTAATTAAATAATACACAAATTAAAAAAAATTATGAATAATATCCTTAGTGACCTGATGCTGCTGCACTGAGTCACTGACCAAGGAGGGACGCTCGGAAGTTGCTACTCTAGGAAGGAGAGATGTTATGAACCTGTGACTTCGGAGAGTGGGAGCAGAGTCAAAAACTGGGAAGCTCAACCGATGGTTGATTGGGAGAGATGATAGGGGAAGAATACGGAAGAGGGGAAGGTAATACGATCGATTGAGGTAATGGATAAACTGACTTAAAGCAACGGATCAAATCATTTAATTACAAACGGGAAGCCCAGTTTCATTAAACCATTCAATTCTTAAGGCTCAACAGCGAAAAAAAGTTGCACTGTATGGCGATAATTGCACTTGCCAAACGTCATAAGACGTAGCGAGAATGGCAAACGCCTTTCATCGCCTCAAGGACATCGCCATGCACAACGTAATCCAGGCGTTACATCCTCGCCACAGCGCCATAACCGCCATAGGCGAGTATGGCGCTCGCCATTCATAAATATGTGCCACACATGATTTTCATTTCTTAAAGCACGTTGGTGGGCTCTTGTAGTTTAATTAACAAAAAATAAAATTTCATATTGTCTCTCTAGATTTAAAACAATATAACCTTTAATTTTTGGAAAAGGATCAAGTTCTATCTCAAATGAAATTTGTCCTTTATAATTGTTTCAAAAAAAAACTTCTCTTTAGTTTGACCTTAAAAACAGAATTTGAAGTCAATGACCTCGCAGTCTTTAATCCTCATATTCATAGTATTAAGCTCAATAGCCAAAAAATCTTTAACCATTGCATTTTCTAAAAGGGCAGCTTTATCAAAAGCAAATAAAGTGAAACTTTGTCCCTTATTATCATTAGGAAAAGGATTTAAATCTGCATCAAATCATGTTGCTTCTTTAATTCTTGTTGAAATAATTTTGAGTTCAATAGAGGGAACAAAATTTTGTGTTAATTCTTGAAATCAAAATCATTTGAAAATCTTGTTGAAATAATTCTTCAAAGATGGAAAACTTAGTCCTTTTGAAATCTAAATCATTTGAAAATGTCTTAACAATAAACAGGTGTTCATCGTCAGTTTGCAGCCTTGATTTCCTCCAAACCAAAGATTTATTAGTGGACTCATCATTTAGAAACATAAAAATACCATTCATACAATCATTAAGACCAAACATTTCCTTTCCAAAAATGAAGCACTTTAAGGAATAAGGAATAGAAATCATCTCAGGATTCAAAGAAACTAGGGTGTGCTGTATGGAATAAGAATTAATTTGTTCTCCCCCACATTTAGTTAAAACCCAGGTTGTTCAATCTGGTGCTCCTTCGTTACTGTCTTTTTCTTGGCATATTGAGCTTGTGGGATTTCTTCAAAAACTAACTGCTCATCTTTTTTAGCATGTTTAGAAAACACTAAAATCATTTTCTCTAAAAAGTTTATCAGGTCCCAAGCAACAATCTTCTCCAAGCTTTTTTTATCAATTCTCCCTTAGCCCTAGATCCTTCAAACTTATCACACCCATTCCTTTTTAAAATATTTATTTCTCCAATATTATGTTAGTTCTTTTCAATGTTTCCAAAGAGTTTCAACAAGATGATTTGCTCAACAGATTTCTCAAAAGCCATTTTGTTTTCAATACTAGATTCACCTAGCAGCTTGCCTATAAACTCTATATTTCCAAGAAGATGAGACATACTGAACCCATTTGAAACAGCTCCCTGGTCATGAAGTATATCTTCCTTGTTTTCAATTTTCACTAGGGTATTCAATTCACTAGTACAAATCTTGTTTGTCTCTTTTTGGTGTATTTTATTTTAAATACTCGGTGATCTCTCCTCTTCAAAACCAAAACTTTTGAAAGCACTTTTGGACTCATCAATTTTAGCTCCAATGTCAACTTCAGTTTTAGGTTTGGAACTGATATTTTCCACTTCATTAGAAAATTTTTGAATTTGACACTGATTTTGAAGATGATCTTGAATGTAATTTGTGACAGTTTCAAAAGCACTTAATCTGTCTTCAAGTTCATCGGAGAAATATTAGAAATCTGATTCTTTTTATTTTTTAAATTAGTCTCATCATCTTGGAAACATATTCCCAATCAAACTCTGATTGCTTCTCAAAATCTAGTCCATTACCTTACGTTTGATTTGGAAGGTCTGTTTCAACCATTTGAAACTCTTCATTTAATTTTAATTCATAAAATCCTTCTCTCTTTTTATCTTGTGTTTTAAAATATTCAGAAGTCTTAGTATTAAGAGTTAAAGGAGTCTGGTTCAATTCCGAAGAGTGAGCATACCATTTGAAACTCTTCATTTAATTTTAATTCATAAACTCTTTCTCTCTCTTTATCTTGTGTTTCAAAAAAATCAGATCTCTTAGTATTAAGAGTTAAAGGAGTTACTTGGCCAATTCGTTTGCAAAATACTGGACTTACTGTGGGCCCATAGATTGATTTTTATGAACAGGGCATGCCTAAGTTAGTTGGGAATTGAGTAGCTAACAGTTTATGGACTGTGATTACTATCCCTCTGTCAAAGGGTAGTAAGATAGTTTTCTGCCCTATTAAACTGTTTAGTAACACTCTTAGTCCGTCCGTACCTGCAACCCTGATAAGGAATTTCGGCTCAGTACGCGCTCAGCTACTTCCTCTGCAGAATTTCCCCGAAGCACGCAAATGAGCCTCCAGCCTTTCAAGCATTTCATGTGTTATATCTAGCACATCCTTATGTGTCAATGATTTCCTGCTATCAACAAGGACCGCCTGTGCAGAAATATTAATCATAATATTTTACGTCCATCAGGTGTTGTGCTAATATGTCATAATGAGGATATGTGACTATGCAAATTTTGGAACTCTACATCCCTTGAAAATGTGCTGCCCGTCAATATGAGCCGAAAACATGTTTTAAAATGATACTATTAATATTTTATAACATAATACAGTGCAATGTCCCTTTGACCGCATTAACAAAATGACACTATTAATATTTTATGATGATTGTTCTAGTGTTTTATAATGGGAGCAATAATCTTTGAAAACTAATGAGGTCAAAGGGCCATTGCACTATATAATGTATTATGCATCATTAAAGGGTTTTGCAAATGATACTCAGGAACATTTGTTACCCAAACGTGATGGCCTATGAATATCTATTTCTAACATTCACACACATGAAATATTATCAATAGTGTATACATATTTTTCAAAACCTTTTCTTTCCCTAGTAAATTTAGTCTCAATCAATAACTTTTTGAGTAATAAACACTCCACATTGACATTAGTAGAACACAAAAACCCATTAGCATTAGAGGCTGAAAAATTACCTGAATTTGCAAGATGACTCCACCTGCAATCTCTTTCAGATTGTTCTCTCCCAAAATTGTTCCACTGCTCACAAGGTCTACAATTGCATCGACTATCCCCATCTATATTAGGAAAAAATAAGGAAATGATAACAGCAACAACAACCTACCCAGTGTTGTCCTGTCCCATACATTAGGGAACCATGATAGGTTAAAAAAACTTTTACATACTCAAAAGAAATTGAAAGTGCGATTGTATTTGAAGATCACCAAAAGAAATGCTAGAAAAGAACAAATGTGATAAAATTTCAAAAAGCAAACCATAACATCTAAAATAGAATGACATATTTCTTTTATGCAACAAGTATAGGAAAAACAAACATGGCTCTCAGGCGAGTCTTAACATCAAGTGCAGTAATCGATTTGTGAAAGAGAGAAGAAGTATTTCATTTATATACGTAGTACTCCCTCCGTCCCCCTGTATTTGTCCACTTTCATTTTTACACACCATCCAATGCACTTCTTTAATCCATTTTATCTTGTAATTTGTATATTAAAAAATTATAGAAATTATATATTAATAATCTATATGTTAAGACAAATCAAACAAGATCACACATGACTATATTTAGGCTTACACATTGAGAGAATTTGATGAGTCAAAGTGCTTAGATGAACAGTTCCAAAAGTCAAATGTGGACAAATACAGAGGGACGGAGGGAGTACAATACAAACAGTCAATCTTAATGAGACTGGACTTAA